TTTCTAATCCACTGGGGGAAAGCAGACCATCCAGGTAAGAAAAAACACAAAAGAGATAAAAAGTAATTTCATCCTGGAGTAAAAAAGGCCTGGGCAAAGACCCAGAGGCAGGAAATGGGATGTTTTGTCCAGGGAAACAGGAAGAAGCCTAGTCAGCAGGACACAGGCTCCGTGGGGGATTGGCCTGAAGTCAATAGCATAGAAAGAGGGTGGGCCAGACATCCAAGGGCTGTAAATGCCAGTGCCAGGGGACCCAAAGTTCTGACTTTGTCCTCTAAAGGACACAATTGACAATTTGCAATACGCCCTGTACATACCATTCTTAATTACTACTCTAAAATATTTAAAGCACTCTCCAAATATAGGACTCAAACATTTAAGTAATTACATTCTTGTGTCTAAAATTACACCAACTAAGCTAGATAAAATCAACTTCAAATTTATGGACATGATATTGGCTACCAGTCTGAATTTTTATTTTAAGCATTTTCCTCCTAAATTTTTGGGAGGATAAAGTGAAGTTACCTTCTAAATTCCTTTTAACAGTTTTTACCTGTTAAAAGGAATACATGTCTCTCTCCCCAGAAATGACCGATGTAAAAACAAAAGGCATCAAATTATACTCATTTTAAATATTATAATGTAGGCCCAAAGGAAAGTCTAATTATACAAAATATTACCATGCATTACACAACTCCACTTTGTTATAGAGTAGCACTCTATAAAATCCCTAAAGAACACACGGGGCTACTTTAAAAAAGAAACTAAAAAAATAAATAAATAAAAGATGGGATCTAAAAAGCTCTAGATATATACATACATAAAAATGTGCACACACACTCACCCACCATATACATACATACGAACTCCATGCTGCTCCCACGAATCCTTACCCAACTGGGAGAGCAAATCCCTTTGAATGAGAGGTTAAAGTTATTAGTAATTAGTAAATATGAAATATTTGGTAATTTTGTCTTCTGTATTACAAGGTCTATTTTAGACTGCCTTTAACTTGAAAATGTTGTTTAAAATTGTATCATGTATTGTGAAAAATGAAGTGCAAACCACTTCAAAATAAGTTCTTCCAAACATACAGGTAGCTATGTAGACATGATCTAGTCCAGAGATGCAGCCTTTTGACTGAGTCCAAGTTTTACAAAACAAATCGTTTTATTAAGGGGTTAAAAAAGCACTGCACTTGAGGACCTACAGGGGCACATGTGGCCAGAGGTTCCTCACCTCTGATCTAGTCAAAGAAATTATATTTGATCTTGTGATCACTTGTGATAATCATTAATAGGATTAAATCTCATTGTCTTAAACCCAAACATATATGTCTTCCCCTAAATGAAGCTTATAATAAGCTGTGACTGATATTTAAATGTAGTAACTATACAAACTGGGATCACCGCTAAGTGTGACAACTCTTGTGATTTTTTTACATCCACTCGTTAATTTCAAAATATCCTGCTGAAATCTCCCCCCCAAAAAATTAAAAATATATTTTATGCAGTGTGGATGAGATACTTCAATCTCTTTGTAAAATTCCTTCTCTGGAAACTATAAAAATGATTATTTTGGAAATTACAACATACTCATGGGTGCAATAATTTTGGAAATTCCCAATAAGACAGCACATAGAAAGCACCTGATGCTCAGTTTATTACAAGAATAAAAGAAAGGTATTTCCCCCCTATATAGAACCTATACTTCACACAAATGGGCCAAAAATCTGTAGATTACTTCCATCAATGTTGACTGCAACCACCCAAGAACTAATGAAGTCCTAGCAAACTGCCTAAGGACCACACAGATTTGCTTAGGGACACAACTAGAAACTGTCTAATAGGAAGACTCATACCCAGCTTCTCAACATTCCCAAGCCCAGCATCTATTCCCTAATGTCTCTTTTTAGGTAAACAAAAAGTATGTTCTCAATCCTATGTTGCTTCAACTTGGAGATCCCTCGGGTTTGTTCCAGATCTAATACTGTGTGGAAAACTATGATCAATGCCAAAATCTTATCAGCAATGAAGAGAGTATCCAATCTATTTTGTAAACAGGTCTTGAAGCAGTAAGATTTTTTTTTAAACGGTAGAGTAAGATATAGTGGACAAACTACAGAAAAGGGCCTTGGTGATAGTTCCTGATAGGAAGACCTGGACTCAGAACCTGCCTCAGAAGTAGCTGGAAGAATGGGCAAATTAAGTCATTTAATCTCCAGTACCCCAAGCAAATGTTAGCAACAAGTCACTAGAAGCCCACCTGGACAGCAACATAAGGGAGGGACTTTCCTTTCCCAAACTCATGAAACCACAGGTCCAGACACTGCTTAAAGAAATTTGCAAAAAGAAACTGTACCAAACCTGTATTCAACTTTTATTAAACATGCAACACCTGGGTCATGAGATAGACTGAAACTGGAATGTTAATTAGTAACCCATGTATGAACACAAACATTTCTTCCATAATTACTTGATAAATATGCACAACAGCTGGAAAAGAATGAAATCACAAAAGTTTACTTTGAATACAGGACCTGAAAATGTGAAAATGTTGCACATAAAATTTAACAAAAGAACATTTAAAGAAAGCTATTTAAATCCAGATTCTTGTTACTGTGGGCCTTTGTTTTTATATGTACACCATCTGGCCCCTGCCTGCCTTTTCCCAAGCTTTTTTCACATGACTCCCCTTCCTTTACTAGACTCCAGCCAAAATGACTCACTAGCTCTTCTAAATTGGCATTCAACTTTCCACCTGCATGTCTTCCCTACTCTCCCAAGACTGAACAATCGGATTCCCTTCTCATCTCCAGCCCTCAGAACCCCCAGTTTCTGCCAAGGATTCTTTGTGTGCAGCCTTTTCTGACCCATCTCCTTAGCAGTCAGCACTCTTTAGCTCTCATAGGTTTACATAAGTGTACCCTCCCAACCACAGGATCCAAGCACCTTTATTAAAGCCAGGACTCTTTCTAGTTCTCTTTACATCCTCAGCTCAATAATTTGAGCGCTGGATATGCCCTACATAGAAATTGCCCCCATGCAGATGGTACCCACCCCTTCTCTACAATAAACCTTATAGATTGGTCAATGGCACTGTTGAGGTAAGTCTAGTCACAGTGAATGTCAGAGACAAGTCTTGAACCCAGGACTTACAAACTCCCAAAGCCAGCTGTGAATCCACCATGCTCCCTTTTTATGTTGATTTGTTTTGGGTTGGTTGTTAGGGTTTTGTCTTGTTTTGGTTGTGGTTTGTTCTAGTAAAGACCCAGATTCCACCTGTACAGTAAGTGAGCTGCCAATAAGAAACCTGGTCTTTACTACTGCAGATATGAAACTTTTCTTCGTGCAACTGCTAATCTTAGAAAGCTGTCTTCCTAACTGACCTCTAATCGACCTTTCCAGCATTCTTACTTCACTTCCCCCTTCCTTCCCCACCTCCCCTCAACTTGCATCCAATGATGCCAGTCCTCCTGAGTTTCCCAAGCTTTGAATTCTCTCCTTCATCGCCACTGCCAGCTAAAATTCCACCTTCTATGAGGAGTCTTTCCCAGTCTCCCTTATTTATTGCCTGCTGCCTGCCCAAAGATAAAATGATTTGACCAGGGCTTGCTAGTCAGTCAACAAGCATTTATTTATTAAGCTAGGGTTTTTTTTTTTAACTTCAGGCTCATTTAAAAAAAAAATATTGTGATAGATCAACACAATTTTTGGGGGGGTAATCCTATGACTTTTTAAATCCTATGCATTTAAAAACATCAATCTAAGAAGGGCCCCCCCCAAAAAAGGTAAGCACTTACAGTGTGAGGGACACAGTGTGCAAATCCAAAGAGGCTGCACTGGGGATACAAATACCAGCAGAACGACACTCCTTGCCCTCACGGAGCCTACATTCTAACGAACCGAGATCCTCAGCCTCCAAGTAACCGAAATTTTCAGACTTCCTAACAAGAAATCTGGCCATCTCCCATCTCTAAAACAAAACAAAAACCCCAAAACCAACCCTCCTTCTAGTCCCAGCTTTTTAAAACTTCACCTTCTGAATTCCCTTTACTTCTAATGTTTTCTTTCTGTTAATTATCTCCACTTTATTTTGCCTTTAGCTTGTTTGCGGATTATTGTTCACCTGGGATTTTCTCCCCTTCAGTCAGCAAGCGCCATGAGGGCTGGGACCGACCGGCTTTCCTTCTTTATTTTGTGTTTTTTCGGGGGAGGGCTTGCACTTTTTCGTGCTCCAGTGCTTTGGTGCAGTACACTAAACTAATGCTTTGTTGACTGACTGGAAGGTTGTGTGTGTTCCTCCCGACAGCGTGAGCTCAACCCCACCTTCTCCACAAAGACTTTCCCCTCCATTTCCCATTTCTCCCGTCTAATCTCGCTGGTACGCAGCAGTAGTGGGCTGGCAGTGAGCCCCGGGCCCCCCGGGGCGCTGTTGCCGCCTTTCTCGGCATCCCCAGGGCTGGCCCCGGCGCCGGGCACACACTGAGCGCTTTATCAAGGTTGGTCAGCAGACTGACGCACAGGCAGAAAATGGGAGGTACGGCCTCGCCGGTCCAGGCCAGCCAGAACCCGATCTCCCACCCACCCGTCTACACCCCGGTCTGGGGGGGCGGGGAGAGTCTCCGGGGGCTAAAGGCGGCCCACGACGACCCACCCTCGGCCGTCCACTGCCGAAGGAAGCAGGTCTAGGGGTTTCAAAAACAAGTGGAGTACTCGGGGTCTAGGGGCCCCGTCACCTATGCTTCGACTCTGAGCGCGCCCCCGGGGCCGCGAGGCTACAGGAAGGGCCAACAGCCGGAGCGCCCTCCGCTGCCCCCCCCCGCCCCGCCCGGACCCCCCTCCCCCCGCGCTTGCTAGGGCTGAGGGGAAGGAGCCGTTTTCGGCGGCCGGAGCGGGAGCCCGGGGACCCCGAAGCCTGTTTACGGGGGGGCCGGGGGGGCGGGGAGCGGAGGCGGCGGGTTCCGGGGACGGGCCGGGGCGGAGGCCCTGAAGGGCTACCTGAGGATGTTGTGCGCTTCCATGCTCCGGTTCTGGTTACTCGAGCACACCACGGCCACTCGCAGCGGCGACGACGGCATGATGGCGGCGACAAGGGGATGCCGCCTGGGGCGAGGGCCTCGCGCGTCTCTCCCGTTCGGGGCACCGGCGGACGTCGCGACAACAGCCACCTCGCCTCAGCGCGAGCAAAATGGCGGCAGCGCCTGCGGCCAGCCCGACCCAAGCGACGCGGCGACGTAGGGGACGTCGGGGGAGGGACGGCGACGGCGATGACGTCACGCGCCGAGGCGTGACGTTGCCCGCGTGGCTCAACCCTGAAAGCGAGGGGTTGGAGGGAGCCGGGGCCCTGCGCAAGCGCAACAGAGGCTAAGAGCAAGCTCCGCCCTCCGCCGCCCCCTCTCTCCCTGACGAGAAGGGCGCCGCTCCTCAGCGCCTCTGCCCACAGCCCAACCCCCTCCGCCTCGCCCCGAGACTTCGCCTCCGGCTTCCGGGGGGCCCCTCCTCCTTCCTCCGGCCCCTCCTCCTCTTCCACCACGTCTTTTTCCTCTTCTTCCGGCCCCACCTCCCCCGCCTTCGGCGGCTGTCTGGTCGGGAGTTCGGAACCGCCTCGGAGCGGTCCGACCTTTTGGGAAAGGTTTAGGCCTAAGGTCCGGCCGCGGCGCCCGGATCCGCTTGGGATTCCGGGGGGACTGGGACGCTTCGGCCAGGCGCGCGCGTCTCGTCCTGCGTGAAGGTGACATCATAACGGCCCGCGGGTGGGCGGTGGAGAAGGACTGTGAGGCAGTGGGAGGAGGGGCGCGGGGTTGGGCTCCCCACTCCCGCCCCTAGACTGGCAACCCCTCCGGGGCGCAGACAGCATTTTTGCCCTTCTCTGCATCCCCAGAGCAACCAGCACACAGTAGGCGCTTAATAAGTGTGCCTTTTGTCGGGCACGCAGTGGATAGAGCTCCGGCCTTGGAGTCAGGAGGACCTGAGTTAAAATGTGGTCTCGGACACTTGACACTCACTAGCTCTGTGACCCTGGGCAAGTCACTTAACCCCAATTGCCTCCCAATAATGAAAAAGAGAAAACAAATAAATGCCTCTTGACTGGACACAGCCAGGTGGGGCGGGGGTGCAAGTCCCAACCCTCAGTGACCTGACATGGTACATTTCTTAGCGTGTCCCCCTGCTCATTCGGAGGGGGGGAGGTCCAGGCATTTGGCTTGGGTCTGTTTGGGAAGATCAGTTTGGGGGGAGGACCTAGGCCCAGCCTTCTGGGGAACCCTGGGCTGAGGACAGGGGTGGGGGCTGGAGGCTGGTTTCCAGTCCTCAGAAACTCCAGTCTAATCCCGCAGTACTAATTCCTGCCCTCAGGGACCCTGGAAGTGAGACTGTAAGCCCCCATAATGCATTCAGTCAATAATCATCCATTAAAGATCTCTAGTGGTTTATGGGTACGGTCCACAAGCCCTGGCTCTGAGTAGGGAGATCTGTTCCCAGGCCTCAGGGAACTGTATCAGCTGGCAGGGATCCCCCCTGTCTGAAGATAAAACATAACCCTAAAATGAAAAGGCCTCTGATCTGTCCTAGCCAAGAAAAGCCTGAGCAAATAAGCCAGGTGTGAGAAACCATCAAGGGCTTCTGAGTCAACCCTTGGGAGGCTTCTGGGTTGGTAATGATTATTATGTCATCCCTCTATCCGTTTTACCTCGGGGCTCTCCTACCTCTGGCCCAGGCCTTGAAAACCTCTTTTGTCTGGATCAAGATAAACCCAACCCAGCCCAGCCCAATGCTGCCAGAAAATATTCCAGGTTGGGTCCTCAGAAAAGCATAGTGGGGCTGACTGTGCTAGGTTTATCCAGTAAAGGAGCTTTTGTGCCTCAGCCAATCAGTATCTATGCCCTGAAGAATAAGTACTATGGTAGGTCCTGTTTTACAAATGTTTTGTCATTTGATTCTCGCTACAACCCTGGAAGGTATATTATAGTTGGGGAAACTGGGCTAGACAGGTTAAAATGACTTGCCTCAGTATCAGAGGCTGGATTTGAACTTGGGTCTTCCTGACTTCCAAGACTCCAAGTATCAGTTGCTAGATAGATTATGGCTGCTTTTGTAGGTATGAAGGGGAACATAAAGAAGTGTCTGCCTCTGGGCCTAATCCACTTAGGAGATAAGGCAGACACAGTCCCAGGTCCCCTATGATCAAGGCCTAAAGAATCTTGGAGACAGGAGGTTGCAGAAAGGTGGATTGGAGTGGGTATTGAATTGGGCCAATAGAGATGCACATGGTAGGTAGTTGGCCCCTACTCAACCTTCTAGTTTGGGTTTGGAAGAGCTGAAGAGATACTTTTCTGGTAGTGTCACCAAAGTTGAAGAGATGCTGTGGCTGCTTATCTGGCATTTGGCCTCTATCATTTATCTGGATCCAGAAAGCCTATGCCCCGTGCCACCCAGCTACCTTACTAATGAACAAATCTGATCCATTTTGGAACATCTTTCATTTTAAAAATTCAATGTCACAGTACTTAAAGAGGTAGAGCTAATAGTGGTCCTGGAGGACCACAAAATCCTTCCTGTGGCACATTCTAGCCATGTGACCCCTCCTAAGCAAGTCACACCCTCTCAGTATTCTAGGTAACTGTAGGAGGATGAGTGAAATTCTGTTTAAGGTAGAGAAGGTTGTTATTTTTGAGTCGTTTCAGATGTGTCTGACTCTTCGTGACCCCATTTGAAGTTTTCTTGGCAAATATACTGGAGTGGTTTGCCATTTCCTTCTCCAGCTCATTTTATAGATATGGAAATAAGCAAATAGAGTTAAGTAACTTGCCCAGGGTCACATAGCTAGGAAGTATCTGAGGCCAGATTTGAATTCAGGTCTTCCAACTCCTAGGCTGGTGCTTGATGCACTTTGCTACCCAGCTGCCCTAGAGAAGATTGCACACTGGGAGTTCTCCACACTGATAAAATTAGAGGACTGAATCAACTTTTTACAAATTAAACATAGAAGCCAGTGCTATTGTGAGGGTGGGGTTAAAACCACCCATTTGGTTCTGGTGCCTCAACTAGGGACAACCTTTTTTTTTTTCTTAATTGAATCAATCAAAACAAGGTACTGAACAGGACCTGTACACCTCCATGACTCAATCAAAGCCATTGGGCAAGAGAATAGACACTTTGTATAAAAGAGAGAAGCTATCTGGGAAGTCAGTCAATAAACTTTTATTTTTGTTGTTTAGTCATTTCAATCATGAAACTGAGACAAACAGTAGTAAGTGACTTGGCTTGCCCAGGGTCCCATAGCTAGTAGGTAGTCTGAGGCCAAATTTGAACTCAGAAGATAAGTCTTCCTGACTCCAGGCCCTGGGGCTCTATGTGCTATGGTGCCACCTAGCTGCCCCAAACATTTATTAAGGGCTACTGTATACCATGTACTATCTTAACTAATAAAAATACAAAGAAAGGTAAAAGAGATACAAAGAAAAGTAGAAGACATCCCCTGCTCTCTGTTTTGAGAAATTTCAGGATCCTTATGAGTTATTGCCAATAAAAAAGCCAGCGCAGAATACATACAGACAGGTAAACAGCAGCTTACTCATTTAAGAATGTGACACTATCAGTGGGTGACAGACGTGCATGCCCCATTGCTTCACAGAAGGCATCTATCCTGTGTTTCTAAGTATATAAGTATAATTGGCTCTTTTCCCATCTTCCCCTTCTGGTGCCCGCCTTTCTACTATATACTTTCCCCTATACGATCATTATTCATTGATAGGTACTACTGGCAATCAAAGCTAGCAACACAAAGAAATTTAGAAGGCGAAACCCAGGTATGTTATATGTGCTTCTGCATAGGCCCAAGTAACTGTGGGCCATGAACAGATTTCTTAAAGCTTATATAATCTCCAATTACATCAGAAAAAGAAAGGAAAAACACGTAATTCTAGATTATAGCCAATAACACTGCCATAACTCTGATGTAGGCCCTCCTCACCTCATAGCTGGGCTATTGCAGTAACTGCTGTTGGTTCTGCCTGCCTCAAGTCTCTTCCCGCTCCAATCCATCCTCCCTTCAGCCCTTCAGCCACTAAAGTGTTCTAAAGTGCAGGTCCAATCATGTCACACACACTTGTTTCTTCTTTGCGTTTCACACTTTTTTAAAAAAGATTCATTATTTTATTTTAGCTTTCAACATTCACATCAACAAGATTTTGAGTTCCAAATTTTCTCCCCATGGTCCCCCCCAACCCCAAGACTGAATACCCTTTCCCCTAATCTGCCCTCCTATCTCCTTCCCCTTATCCCCCTCCTTTTCTATTTTCCTGTAGGGCAGGATAGATTTCTATACCCCATTGCCTGTATATCTTATTTCCCAGTTGCATGTGAAAACAATTTTTTAACATTTGTTTTTAAAACTTTGGGTTCCAGATTTTCTCCTTTCCTCCCTCCCCACCCTCCCTCATTGAGAAGGCAAGCAACTTGATATAGGTTATACTTGTGTAGTCATGCAAAACACTTCCATAGTAGTCATACTGTGGAAAACTAACTATATTTCCCTTCATCTTATCCCGCCTCCCCCCTCATTTATTCTATTCTCTCTTTTGACCCTGTCCCTCCTCAGAAGTGTTTGCTTCTGATTACCCCCTCCCCCAATCTTCCCTCCCCTCTTTCACCCCCCCCTTATCTCCTTCCCTCCTGTTTTTCTGTAGGGTAAGATAGCTCTCAATACCCAATGGAGTGTGTATGTTATTCCCTCAAAGCCAAATCCTATGAGAATAAGATTTCACTCATTCACCCTCACCTTCCCCCACTTCCCTCCACTGTAAAAGCCTTTTCTTGTCTGTTTTATGAGATAATTTACCCCCATTCTACCTCTCCCTCTCTCTTCCCAATATAATCCTCTCTCACCCCTTAATTTTATTCTCCAAATATCACCCATTCATCTTCAACTCACCCGGTGCCCTCTATCTATCAGTCTATCTGTACATATAATTTTTTTCCCCTCTACCTACCTTAATACTGACAAAGGTCTCATGAGTTACAAATATCATCTTTCCATGTAAGAATGTGAACAGTTCAACCTTAATAAGCCCCTTATGATCTCTCTTTCCTGTTTACCTCTTCATGCTGCTCTTGAGTCTTGTATTTGAAAGTCAGATTTTCTATTCAGCTCTGGTCTTTTCATCAAGAATGCTTGAAAGTCCTCTATTTCACTGAATAT